CTAGTAATTATATCTTTGCTGAGTTGTTGTATCTAGGATCAGTCTTGAGGTAACATAACCCCATCTCTGAATATTATTCCACTGTTTATTAATGCATATCAATAACTCATACAAAGTACAACACATATAGGAAGCTGGACTACTTGAGGAAAGGTGAGGCTACAAACCTTGCACTGGCCCAACAAAATGCTTACTGCTATGAAAGCAACAAGAAGCAATTGTGTAAAGGCCCTGGCACTATGTTTATGCTGCCAGTGGATTCTTTTTGCACTAGACTATCTGACAGTGCTGGACAAATTGTAGCTAGCAGTCACAGTCACAAGGGTGTAGCATGAAGATGTTCAACCTTCTGATTGTCAAGACAGCTACATGAAGAAAGCAGGTGCTTCTTTAATTGAAGATGCCCAGTAATTTCATGTGAAGCAAAGGAATGCGGGAAAAGAAAGACCTTATTTCAAAATATTTAACTACCAGAGGATCCTTCTCCTTGTGGGTGAACAGGATGTCAAATAAGAACCGACTGAGTGACTATGGCTGTTCTGTTTCTGTGTAAGTATTAATGTCTGATACTGATTGCACTGGTAGTTAGAATCTGGATTCATCCTACCCAGTTGGTACTTACATGCTCTAGTCTCCTCTATAATGAAATGAGAGGCACCTCCAGAGTGCATTCAGTAATTCCACTGGCCATCAGGCAACTCAGAGCAACAACGCTTTACCTGAGATCATTGGTGACATGCTTAAGGGAAGGTAGGAAGAAACACAGTTATAGTGACAATGGTGACCACTTAAATGACTCCTAAATGATAATAATTTTCAAGTACATAAGAGGTATCACATGGCAAGAAACAACAGACTTAAGTGGTGTAAGAAAGAATTCATTTAGATGTTGAAACAGCTTTCTGACGAAAGGAGCTGTAAAGAACTGGAATAGACTGGGAGATTTTGGAGTCTCTCATACTGTAATAATCTTGAGAAGCATGTGTAGTACTGATTTGGGTAAATGTGATCCTATCTTGGGGCAGTGAGATGGAATACAGGTTTGGGCCTTCTACCTTATTTTCTAGTTAAAATGATGTGATGGAGAAGGGCTATGTTCTAATTATCCTTTCTTTCATATATTAGTGCTTAGTATGGGTCAAAGACCTGACCAAAGCTCAGGAAAATTTAGAGAGGCTTTTTAAGTTGGCTCTTTGGTCAACTGAAGAGAGTTTCATTTTGCTTGTGAGAGTTTGAGGCTCTAAGTCAGTAAATGCTTACTGTAACAGGAGTATTTGTGTGAATGGGTTTTGCAGGCTGGGCCCTGACGTTCACAAGTCAAAATAATGCAAATGAGTGAGTATATATAACTACAGTATATATATTCCTGCTTTACAATACAGTACATAAAGGTGGACATACGACCCTGCTAGAACAGGAATCTTCTCATCTGCCTGTGTTTATGTAAAAGCTTCCAGTAATTTTAAGACCCCCCCATAGTTACATTTTTGTCCATGAGAAAAGTTGTTTTTCAACAGAAGTCACATAATTTGAAATGGGATTTTGTACGTGGGAGTCTTTGCACTCAAGTTTATACATCCACAAAATGGATGTTTCTAGCTGGGCTGGTCACAGTAGGCTGTTTTTATAATCTGTGGGAAGAAACGGATGCTTTCAGGGTACAACTCTTCTGACCGTGTTTTTGATATCCACATTGAAACGAGATGAACTGTATGCTGAGTGCCTGGTTCTCTCCATAGACTATGAAGACTACGATGTTTCCTGACAAACAAACTCAGACTGGAATTTAGGGAGAATACCATGGTTACAGGCAGCTTGATATATAAAATAAAAGAGTTACCTATTAGAAATTTAAAGGCGGGCTCTGCTTCTGATCCTAGGATCTTGATTTTATGGAAAACAGGGAAGGTTACTCCATAGTTTCCTTTGGCAAAAGATTCTATTTCCTGGCTTGAACTAGGCTCTGATTCTCCGAACTGGTTGCAGGGAAAAGCCAGCACAGTGAAGTGGGAGGGACCAAACTCTCTCTGTAGTTCTTGCAGTGCGATGTAATTTTTGTCTGTGTGTTGGCAGTAACTGGCCACGTTTACAACCAAGGTTGCCTTCAGAGAAATAAAGTTGTAATAGTAAGAAAAAAACCTAGAGATGGCGTAGAGATTACAATTAAGTCTTAAAATGGCATCTCCGACTACCGCAGTCATTCCTGCCTGAAGGCTAAATTTTATCTGTCTGATCATAATTTTATTAAACAGATAAGGATGATAGCAGCTTAAGATATTTACTTTCAGACAACCTGTTTCAAAAATCCAGTAAATGGATAAACTTAAACTTACAGCTTTGTTTAAATATAAGCATGTAAAAAAGCAGATATTTAGAATAGGCACTAAAATCATATTTACTAGATCAACTTCCAGAATTCAACACGACATGCTACCATTCTTAACTAAGATTAAAATGCACAAATTGTACTGTTAGGCTAATATTGATTTATAATAAAGAATATGAAAAACCATTTTCTTGATTTATTAGATTGAATACTTAATTCCTGGAGCAGGCCTAGATAAAATAAATTTCTCTCCAGCTTACTGTTTGAAGAACAGGTTTTTGGCACAAATCTCTGCCGAAAATTTCCATGACCAAACTTTTTGTTAACCTAGAAATGGAGACCTGTTTTTCAGTAAAGATTCAAGACAAAGATACAATGACGTTGTAACTTACTTTCCCTCTGTACTTCTCCAAGGAAATGATCCTTCCTCGTGAATCCTTGACTTCAAAAGAATAAAAATCTTTGATTTTAGGTTTAAAAAATCTGAGTTGCAGCAGGCAGAGAATGGCGGTACACAAAACCATCGACAGAAAGACAACAAAGACCCTGGCTTTGGGCACTGAGTATTTCAGAGTATAAGTAGTTGTGAGAGGCTCCATTTTCGAAATCTTTGGAGAGGAGCCTGGGCAGGCCTGGAATGTGAAGGAGGAGCTGAAATACGAAACTTGCAGCTTGGGCTGGAAAGAGCAAGCGGCTTGTTTTGTCCCTGTTGCAGAAGTGGCTGTTTCATTTCACAGTGGGGCTTTAGAGCTCTTGGGTAAAGCACAGAAATATCTCTGTCTGGGCAAAAAAAAAAAAAGAAATGAGTGAAAAGTGTGTTGCCATCACCTAAGGATGCTGATTGCTCTGTTTTACTGACCTGTGTGGGATACTCCAGTGTTTGCACGCTGGCTTGAGAGAGGCCTCTTTTGTGGGTCTGTAGTGTAGCTCTCACACATCCCCTGGGCCCCAGGTGTCCCTGGCAGAGTTGTTCAGCAGCAGGCACCTATGCTATCAGACAGACCTGGAGAAGCAGTTTGGGGCCAGCTGTTTAGGTAGAAGGAGGGCAATATGGCAGAAGCCACCCAGTTTACAGCCTCTGTCCTGCCTCTCATCAGCTGCCGTGGGATCATAGGCAGCTTTGTTTGTAAAACTTCTACAGCACATGGGGAAGAGAAAAACTCCTTGTTTATAGGCTGGCATAAGGGAAGAAAATAATTTTTTTTTTTTTAATGGGAGGGGTGGCTGATGATGGAAAACAGGTTGCTGTTTTTATTGCTACTGACTAACTTGCAACTAGCTGTGCTGAGATGAGAAGATGGAAGTTCTGCACAAGAGAAGGATGAGCTAGCCAAGAATCTCAGGTCTAAGCCAGGCAGCTGCAGTGGTGTTTCGCTGAGGCAATTGTGAAAGACACTCTGAACTTTAGTGCCACAGCAGTCTGGTGTCTTAGCTGTGTTCATGTTACTGTTTTAAAGATGTTTGCCTGTTGCTCTTGGTTTCTGAGGGTACATCAACATGTAGTGGTTATAATTCAGTTATGGAAAAAACAAACTTTTCTCCTTCTTTTTTCATGTCTTCCCTTGCTCAGTTCTTCCCTTTTTCTTACTGTGCATTTGTTATTCCCTCTCTTCCTCTCAGCTTTCAGGATTTTGTTTTGTCCTTCTCACATTTCTGTTCTTGGGCTTTTCTAAGCTGTTACTTGTCTTTCAGCCCACGTTACTTGTCAGTCTCTGCTAACTTTCTTTTCCTCCCAGTCCAAACCACCATTGAAGAGTGATTTCTGTCGCAGTTGTTTTTCTTACCACACTGATCTTTTGCTGCACTTTAAGGCTACATTTTAAGGGATGAAAATAGAATGGGACTTTCTGAAGGTGAAACCTGGAATCTAGGGGTCTGTTGCTTTTCAGTGACTTCGATACCACCTGAACTGTCCTTGATTTGTACGATATCGTAGTGGTATGTTCAACCATTTCTATAATGTTCTCTAATAGCTAAGGTCCGTGTTCATTTTGTTTAACAAGACTATATAGAGAGTTTTACACAGGTCTATGTAACAGAGAGATGCTGGGGAAATACTGTGAAAGTTCAGTATTTGTATGGGTGTTTCCTGTGATCTGAGGACATACGAGGCTTGACCTCTGCCTGGCAGTGAGGTCTGTGAGTGTGGTTTTTCAGTGGTGCGGGCAGAAAAGGCACAGAGTTCTGTGCTGACATGAACAAAGCTGTACTCAACAAGCAAACACAGGTGACTAATGCTGACTTTAAAAATTAAAAAGTTTCAGTGTGTTTGATTTCAGAAAATCCATGCAAAATCCTGGTGTCTACGTCTCAACAGCTTGTAATGTGCATCTAATATTATTTCAGAAATAAAAAAAAATTACAAGACCCTATAAATATTTACTGGAGTACCTAGTAATGATCCAGAAGCCTATTATACTTGCTGTGCTTCTTTGCTGTTGTTACTTTCACTGTTTTCCCTAAAACATTGCTTTAAAACTGTCTGAAAACCAAAATCTTATATTCAATATTATCTAGGCTCTTACATTTCAAATTTGGATGCCTTCTTATATTTTATGTTTTTCTCACACGCATTGCTCTATGAATGAATTTGAAAGTAAGAAATATAAATCTGTCATTTAATCTTTATTTACTATATCTTAATCTATTATAAAGTGTAGGATAACATAATAACATGAGCAAGCCACAGCAGTGGCGAGAAGATTCAGAAATCATAAATGAGCTAAATTCTTCGTTGGGTGAAGATCAGAAAACCAGCCTGGTTCCAGACAGCCAACACGTGCGTTTGCCCAAATGCCCATCTCTCAGGAAAGACCAGACCCAGGATCCTACGCTAAATGTGTGAAGATGCGTTGGCTCTTTTCAAAGGCCAGTGCTGTAGCCTAGTGCATGAATGACACAAATTTAGTTTTCTTCTCTGCCGCAGGCTTTCTTTGTGACAGTTGATTCAGGGGTACTTACCTGACAGAAACATTTGTTTCTTTATGTTTTTTTTTCCCTGCTCACTCTTTCTCCACCCAGGTGACTGACTGCTGGAGCCATCCTCAGCCCAACATCGATTTCCATGGCCTGCTGCTCTGAGGTGCGCTGAGCCCACGTGGCATGGCAGAGGAAAACTTGAAACAGCGTGAAGGGACAGAGTGATATGAAGTCATGACTGATTGTGGTGTTCTGTCTCCCTTCACTTGTTCAGGTCCCAGACTCAGAAAGGACCACGTACTCCAGGTTTAAGAGCTCCATTAAGAGGAAGCTGGCGGCCAGGGCTCTGGTGGCAAGCAGCCCTATTGTCACAAGATGGCAGCAGCTGCACATGAGAGGCGGCACAGAGGAGCCGCGCAGGGCCCGCTGCGTGACGGGTCTTTGTGCCTCTGGGGGCCCCCCCCAGCTCATCAGCGCACCTGAAAAGGCTCCAGGTCAGACGGGATCCAAAGGAACATTTTGTTATAGAGGATGGCCCCGTGCAGGGACTTCGGAAATAACCTGCAGTGGGGAATTAGTGCAAGGTGTGGGTTAGTGTTGCCCCGTGTCCCAATTGTCAGGGGCTCTGGGTATGGCAGTGTGCAGCAGCAGCCGTCTGTGCAGACCTTCACAGGCAGAGCAAGCTCAGGGCCAGCGTCCTCTCAGCAGGAGTACGCTGCTGTCGTGAGAGGAAAGCTGGGCCTGAGGTTCTTGTTACCAGTGCGCAGACAGTCTAGGACAGCAGGTCATACAGACAGCTGACATCGGGGGATCCCCAGCCAAGCAATGTCTCTTGCAGACCAGTCTTTTTTCCTCTATGATGGGGGCTATATTGGACTGGGTTTAAGTTGCACTGGGCTGTAACAGTGCATAGGGTTTGTTGCTGCACCTTCATATCTGGAATAGTTAACAATAACTGACAGGACAGCAGAATTCATGCAGGCCTCTCCCCTTCCTTCTGCTTCTCCTTTGCTTTACACACAGCTACCGCAGACCCAGCCATAACTGCAGAACTTGGACGAGTCTGCGTGCCTGGATGTGGTATAGTGTACACTCACTGAAGGAGAAGCTTGCCCTGTGTTATTGTCTCTCCTCCAATGCATAAGGCTTCAGGTATTGACAAAGGGACAGCAGCCAGGGGACACTCACACTCGACTCACTTTAGGAAGAGACTTATCTGAGGGCTGATCAGAGCACAGATCAAATTTTCAGTACTCTGACTTGGTGTGGAGAACTGACTCTAGGGGAGGCTGTTTCTCTCCGTCAACAACAGACGGAGCTGAGGAAAGGTTAAATGAGCCTTTGAACTCACTGACTCCTACTTCCAGCAGTGCTGGGGGAAAGCAGGGAAGGGTTTAACCATGCTGCATGTACAAGAAGAGCTTCCTGGAAGATCTAGGGAACTAAACAAGGCTCATTTCTTGATTAATAATTGAAATCTTTAGAGAGCAAATAAAAGATGCTGTTCAGCATTCAGGATGTGTTCCTATGATGCCATGGCTGTTGGTCAGAAAGTGCAATTCTGTCTTCTGCTAAGCAGAATACCAGAGCTGTTTAATAATACATGCCCAGCTCTAGGTCCTAAAACAAGGTGAAGTCTTCCCTGCTTCGGTTTCTAGAACAGAAAGTCCGGCATGCTGTCTCTACTAACAGTGGTGAAAGCCTGTATGGTTCTGGGAAATCAGGTACTGATTTCCTATGGGGTAGGATCCTGTGTAACCAGTCAACAAATCTAAGGCTGGATATAAACTGCAGTAACAAACAGGCATTTTTTATAAAAGGAATGATCAATCTGACCTTTTTTAGACATCTCTTTTAGGATAAGACGAATAGTGCTGTAGAAATGTCTCCTTTTCTTCGCTGACAAACGAAAGCAGGGTGACTGGTTCATATGTCAGTATTTGCATTGTCCCACTTAGTGTGTCAGATCTGCTTTTAGAGCATTGCTACTATGAAATCAGTGCTATTCTGAAAAGTATTTGGCAAATAATCCCTGTGTAAATATTTAAAGGTATCCCAGTGACACCTCAGGTGCCTAAGGAACTCTCCATCATGAAAACTGTTGCGACTCTACCTAGCAGTCATGCTGCAGCAGGCTTGGAAGGCAGGAATAACAGGAGAGGTGAAATGGAAAAGAAACAGGTGAGTAATGTGAAATTCAAATGCACAGGTAGGGTATTTGCTTTCCTGATGTGTTTTTTTTTCACCTTATCTTTGGCCTGGAATCTGTTATGTGGATACTACCTTATTGACACGGAGAACAGAAACAAGAGGAGGTCCGTTTAGGAAATGTCTACTAGAGAAATGTAAGGAGCAATTGCTTCATCATTTATTTGATTCAGCTTCTCTCCCCTTCCTCCAATCTATCATCCTGCAAACTAAAATTGAAACCAAGCTAATGAAGCCCTCAAGATACGGTTGTTACCGCTGAGGGAAAATGTATGTTGTAAAAAATACGCATGAAAATCCTGAATGACTCAGTTTTCCACTTGCTTTAATAATCACTATGTGTGAAGAAGATAATTTCTTCAGTTGTTTGCAATGTAGCTGTTCATTTTGTCACGTAGACAGAACGAGGTGCTATGAAAAACTTGCCAAAAAGCAGCTTTGTGAGAATAAAATTTTTTGTCATGACAATAGAAGGTCAGATTCTTGGCCAAGGATGAAAGAACGCATGGAATCTGTCTAGCACGTGAAACAAACACTTCAGATCACTTCCCATTTAGGTGTTGTTTTCTATTGGTGTACACTTTATCCCTTCATTTTTCCTAGTGGATACTGACACAACAATTTTTTTTTTTTTTTTTTTTTTTTTTAGGCATTATCCATTGCTTTTTGGTCATCTTAAATAAACCCATGCTCCAGCCACCAACCTGTTTCTGTTCACTAACTTCTTGAAAATTGACTTGTCATGTGAAGCATGGTGATACTTGCCTGTATTAGTAAAAGTCATGACCATAACATTACACTCAAAAACACCTCTCTATTTTAGTGCTATCTAATTGTGACTCATGTGTTCATATATTCAGCTGTAAACTTTTAGTCAGTGATCATGCTTTTTCTTGTGCTCTCCTTTCCTTGATTGAACCAGTTGCTAGGTCAGTACTGAAGATGCTGATAGCTGTTTTCACATGATTACTTTTTTGACCATAACTGTTGAGTAAGGATGCTTCAGAGATGCATACTCAATGTCCTTGCTTGTAGTGATTTATAATCCTTTAATATTATTGCGAACTTTCTGTAGGGGTATCAAGCTCAACTTCTAAGAAAAGGAGGTAGTGTCAGGACAGGTGGGCTAACAGGCTTGTTGATTGATATCTTGTACTCTTGAAGGTCATTGGATGTTGGAAAAAGACCGTAGTGATTTTACATCGTTCTGGGAAACCTGGTCCTTGGGGCAATAACTTTCCTTTCTAAATAAGCAAAATAGTCTGGAAAATCCTCCTTTCAACAACAGTGCTTTCTTCCTTCCCGCTCCCCTCCGTGGTCTGATTGGAGAGTGTGAATTTTAGAATTGTTAAAATACACAATTCAATGGATTTAGTAATCTTAGTTGAATCTACCCCATAGAGAAAATTAATAAATGTGAGATGATAAGAACTTTCTATGAGGTAATGTGTGTAAAACATTCTTCCTTCCTTAAAATGTAATGTCTTTTAAAAGATGAATACATGTCATTATCTTCACTGTTAGTCGTACAGTCATAGAATGGTTTGGATTGGAAGGGACCTTTAAAGCTCATTTAGTCCAACCCCCCTGCAATAAGCAGGGACGTCTTCAACTAAATCAGGTTGCTCAGAGCCCCTTCTCTCCAGGGATGCGGCATCTACCACCTCTCTGGGCAACCTGTTCCAGTGTTTCACCACCCTCATTCTAAAAAATTTCTTCCTTATGTCTCATCTAAATCTACCCTCTTTTAGCTTAAAACCACTACGCCTTGTCCTGTCGCTACAGGCCCTATTAAAAAGTCTGTCCCCATCTTTCTTATAAGCCCCCTTTAAGTACGGAAAGGCTACAATAAGTCTCCCTGGAGCCTTCTCTTCTCCAGGCTGAATAACCCCAACTCTCTCAGTCTTTCTTCACAGGAGGGATGTTCTGTTCCCCTGATCATTTTTGTGGCCCTCCTCTGGACCCGCTCCAACAGGTCCAAGGCTTGTACTGAGGGCTACAGAGCTGGACTCAGTACTCCAGGTGGGGTCTCATCGGAGCAGAGTAGAGGGGCAGAATCGCCTCCCTCGACCTGCTGACCATGCTTCTTTTGATGCAGCCCAGGATACGGTTGGCCTTCTGGGCTGCAAGTGCACATTGCCAGCTTACATCCAGCTTTTCATCCACCAGTACCCGCAAGTCCTTCTTGGCAGGGCTGCTCTCAATCCCTTCATCCCCCAGCCTGTATTGATACTGGGGGTTGCCCCGACCCAGGTGCAGGACCCTGCACTTGGCCTTGTTGAACCTCCTGAGGTTCACATGGGCCCAGTTCTCAAGCTTGTTCCGGTCCCTCTGGATGGCATCCTGTCCCTCAGGCATGTCAACCGCACCACTCAGCTTGGTGTCATCTGCAAATTTGCTGAGGGTCCACTTGATCCCACTGTCTATGTCGTTGATGAAGATATTAAACAGTACTGGTTCCAATATGGACTGTGTGTCAGTCTTCCGTGTGTCAGCCTTTAATCTCTAAATGAAGTGACTTACCTGGAACTACATTGTAATTTACAAGCAGGAGTTGACTTAGAACTAAGATATTCAGAGTTCTACATCAAGGACCACAACCATTTCCTAGGAGTGTGATGTGGGGGTCTTTGAGATAACATTGTGGGATGACCAAAACCAAAGTTCTTCCTAAAACCATTTGGAAGTCAGTCTTGGCTAAAACCATAAGAAAATCCAGTAATCTTCTTAGATACAATAATTAATGACTATTTAATTTGTGCTGCCTGGGAGCATAAAGTGATGGGATGCATTGAAAATAAAATCTTACATTCCAGTGAAATGTGTGTGGTCTCTTTGTGGGCCAAAAGATTATTTCCTTCTATACACAATTGGTTTTCCACAGAAATGTCTGCACTTACTTTAGAGGGACACAGATCCAAGCAATCTGATTAGCTTTCTGCCAAGTTGTCTGTATAAATCATACAGAAAGTGCCTCTCAAAGCTGAAGGCCTGCTGTAGAACAGCTGGGATATATAAAGAAGGAACACTTTTTCCCAGCTATGTTTTTGTAAGACATTTCTTACCATGATTGCAACAGGGTTTTGAAGAAGAGTAACACTGAGTGTGCTTGGAATGATAGATTTCACAGACATTGGAGGAAGAACATACACTTGAGTGGCTGGTAAAAACATCAGCTGCATTTCCACCTGACTGTGAATAAAGAATTACAGACCAAACAGGCAACTGGCATCAGAGCATTCAGCTCAGTCAACATTGTGAAGAAATGCATATTACTAGGGATTGGTGAAGACATTCATATCCTGTGTGAGCTGATCTGAGTCTTTGCCTGAATCTTGGCTAAAGGCCTAAGCTAATTTTTTTCGAAAAAAGAAGAAGTCCCAATAACAATTCAGATCTCCCTTTTCTTATCTTTGTCTGCTGCATCATCTTTTTCCTTCGACGTCCAAGGAAATGATAATGTAATTAAAAAAATCTTATTCCTCTAAGACACCTTGTATATATTTTCAGTTTCATATTGTAATACTGGTTAAGGCATGGGATCATGGAGTCAGGCTTTGGGACCCTGGTTTGACAGAGGACTCTGACATCCAGTAGGTCTCATGCTAGAATCAATTGCCCTGCAGTATATGCACCACAAAACTCATCTTCCCTCATAGGGCAATCCTGAGGCATCAGACTTACTGTCTGCATGCAGAAAACATGGCATTGTGTGCTGGTAAAATTAGCCCAAATGCCAATTCAGAAGAGGACAAGAGGGCACTAAGGTTTGGCAGGTGAGCTGTGGTAGTACCTACAGATGTACAGGGTCTGGGACCTCCTCCACTGGTAAGATGGCCTTGTTCAAACAGCTTTGTTAAAGTTTGTGTGATCGTTAGCAGTGAATTAGTGTTTTATAGAAGGAAAGATGGTGGCTCACGTTAGAGCACATGTTTTGGACACTGGTATTCTGTACTTGTTACTGATTTCCCATCCAAGGGACAAACTGTTTTGAAGCTTTTATGTAATGAATGTTGAGTCCTTTGATGGGAGTTGCATCCATGATGCAAGATGTTTTTTGACGGATTTCTTCATTCAGTCATGTTTTCACTTCAATGTATTGGCAGAAATGTCCTTCTCAGCTTCCAGTGGTCCAGGAGGTTGGATATAGCATTGCAGAAAGTGGGGACATGAAGGTCTGTGAAAATGCCAATTGCATCTGGAAAGGTATGTTCCAATATAGCAAATATTCTCATGCACACTGAACAGTAAGATAAAGCATCTATACTGGCAAAGCAAGTGCATCTACCTGTTCCAGCAAGTGTTACAGAGTAATACAAAGTGGCTGAGGTCTACACTGCTCGGGGCTACTTCTGGAGTTCTCACCGCCTGTGAAGAGATAGTATTCCATCTCTTCCAGTGTGGTTAACCCATAGTATTTTACCTGGCTCTCCTTTGGGCCCCATCTGACGCATTGGTGGCCCTAAAACATTAATTTCCTTTTGGCTTTTCAGTTTCAGAACCCTATAAATAATGTGGGGTTGTACTGCAGAATGGGCACAGTATATGTATCATATGGACTGTTGGGTACATGCGAGTGCAAGACATGCAGAGATGGTGGAGTCTTGTTGCTCCTACCTGTAGGAAAAGGTAGCTGGAGCAAACTGTGCCTAGCACTGCCTCTGGATTCTTCTGCGGGGGAGTTGGTTAATTGCTCCAAAAGATATCCTAGGAATGAATGGGCATAAGGGAGTGTGAATCATCAGGCGATTAGAAAACAGGTGGAATGTGAGGAGCTAATCTGAAATAATACAGATATTCCCAGCGTTATTTGAGTATGAGGCAGTTCATTAAATATCAGACCAATATTTTGTTGTATTCTGTCTTGGACAGATTATTTGTTTTGGTGATCTGGCTATTTCTGTGTGTGACGGGTTCTTGCCAGTCAGGGCCTGATTAATGCTCATGTAAAAACAGTGAGAAACAGCTTCTTTATGAATCTGGAGTTCAGCTCCTGAAGAAGAAGTTGGGGGCTATGTGATAGATTTGTATATTCCTTTGTTGCTCTTCTCCATGCAAATAAGACTCACTTCAGAGCAGTCAACAGCAACAGTATACGGATTAGTCACAGTGATTTTTTCCTTGACGGCAAATGAATACAGGTATGAGGAATACCGTGTTTTATTCCACCCACCTACTTGTTGATGAAGTGGTCTGGTGTGACAGTACTGACTACTTACCACTTCTTGAGTCTCATTTTGAGAAGTGACACAAGCATGTAAGAGCCGAAATCCTATCAAAAGTCAGTGATATCTGCTAGTAATAACAAATATAATAACACAAAATGGAGTAATGAAGCTTAATTTCCACTAATTAAAAAGCTTGTTATGCACATTCATGTGTATGTGAATAGTGCTAAAAGCGTGATCAGTATGAATTTAGGGTAGATGAATTACTCATGAGAGAAGAGAAATCTGAAATGAATTACAGAGTTGATTTCATCCTTTATATCTCACTGCTCAATACCAGCTACCAATGTTAAAGAAGAAAAACATTTTCAGAGTGTTTCAGAAGTGTTGCCATTCATCCAACTGTTAGAATTATAAGTGCCTTAGTTTTCCTGAATTATCTTACTTGGCTGGGTTCAGAAAGGTTTGGTAAAGTTTTCAAAAAATAACCAAAAATCTAGATATTAGAAATACAGATTTTTCTTACAGAGAAATCTCATTTCAGTGATATTAGACCTTTTTAGGGTTAAAATGCAGTGTTACTTATCCTATTGGGCAGGTCTGAGAGGGTGGTTCCCGTAACCCTGCTTGAATGCTTAACTCCACAAAATTTTAGATACAGAAGAAAATCACTGTGGCCTGCTTCTTGCTCATCTTCAGTCTTTATTTGGAGAGAGAGGGGGTACCACAGCTGAGAGTGGAAACATTTGTTGTCTGGCAGAAATGAATTTTGGATTAGGGGAGAAGACTGAGGACAGAGTAGGGAAGGACTGTGTGAAATAAGTTCTCCACAATTTGTCATTGGACTTCCATATAGGATGTTTATGTGTGTATTTAAGTTACAGAGTACAAAAACTTTGTCAGTGTTGGATTTTTTTGAACAGAGAAGGTTAGTTGTAAAGATAAGTAATGTCTTCTGCCCTTGAAACTTTTGATATTAGTTCTAAATACTCCTTTCTGGAGAATAATTCAAAAAGGAAGTCAAAACACAAGAGAAAAGCACAGAAATGTGAATCTCCAGCTTTCTGCTCTGCACAGCAAGATAATTTCTTACACATAAAAATCTAGCATTAAATGATTCATAGTGCTAATGATCTGGGCTTTTTTCTATAATGTTTAGGAGTCCTTAGAGCATAATGTAGACAATGACCACAAAGGATGACACCTCTGCTTGCTCATACTTGTATTTGCTTTTGTTTCTCGCTTATGTGTGCTGTGATCAAAGTGCATGTGCTTTGAAAACCTTTTCCTGTGGTTAGGTATTGATGGGGGAGACCTTTTGGTGGGAAATTAACAGAAAGAAAGCAAAAAAGTTAATTGCTGTATGAGGGGGTTTTGAAGTGGGAGAGCACATATGAAACATTCTGCTACTAACAACTTTTGACAGAAAACTAAGGCGAAAAAGACAAAAAACTCCATGTTCCGTATTGAGCTGTGGTACAATTTAAACAAAATATAGTGGACCCTACTATCCATTCTAGCTGATTAAATCCATGGAGGTTTGAAAGAGGTGGTAAAAGGTGGCTTTCACCTAGTTTAGTGTGTCTAGTGTTTTGAGCCTACCCAGGATAAATTAGACCCTTCTGGCCTCCTCTGGCCCATGGAGAGACAAATATAGTGAAAATGTGAAAGGCTTAGACCTGAGAAAAACTGGTGGTGGTTTGAATTACTGATTTGTGTGTGATGAATCTTCAAATACAGGATGCAGAGAGGGGACCCAGAATGAGTTCAGAGCTGTCACCATCATGAAGCCTTCTATACCATTGGAGCCAGAAATGAGGCTTCATGTTACTGGATTGCGCGATGATTACTGTAAGTTGATTTCTCCTGTGTGGTGGTTTTTGCAGAGATTGGGAATTCTTATGTATGTTTCAGGAAAGATGGTGAAGGTGTGTCCCCTTCACATAAAATGGAAACTCTGCAGGACATGTGCATGATGTCATTTTTCTTATAAGGGTGCATCTTTGCAAACTGCCTGTCCCAGGATGGAGACATGACTGATCAAACCCTAGACTCAATACTGCCTAACTCTTAGCAGTTTCCTTCAGCTATAGATCGCAATACAACTTTCAAATCAAACCAATATACTTACCTCCACTTAATTAAGTTAAATGTTTCAGCTATCAGCCTTGGATATCTAGCAGCCAGTCAACACAGCAGCAACTTCATTGAGCAGACTTTGAAATCTCTTATTTTGGGAGACATCAGTGACATTCTTTATGGTTTGGATTTTAGATACCTTCTGAACTAAATTCTTACTTACGTCTTTGGTGGTGCACAGGCAAAAATTAAACATGCACAAGTTACACGTGAACACACATGGATCTCTGGTCTACAGCAGCAAATACATGTTTTAACACTTCATAAGATCTAACAAACAACTCTGTATGTGCAAGTGTTCATAATTGTCTCTGTGAAGGTTTTTCAACATATCCTTACAAGTGTTCATGTGTATCTATGAACAGGACTAAAGTTTGTTTGTTTGATTTACACTGATTGTGCACAAGGTATGTCCCAAGACTAACAGCACTAACAGAAGTCTTTGGAAGTGATTTCTTAATGCTTATTTCTGTCCTGCTCCTGTAGGACAGGAGTAGGACTGACGGATTCAGCTGTTCTTCGGAGGGATTTTAGTTACCAAAATATGGTGTCAGACCTTGGTAACAATCTTCTGTGCTTCAGGGGTCATGCAAAATGACTTTTAAGCTGCCCTAAAGGGACAGCCGAGGATTACCCTTGATATGGGAGAATGTCCTGCGTTGGTATTAAATGTTGTATACCAACTTCTTCTGGCCTACCTGACATAGCAAGCTGTTCTGAGGCTAATTGCTGTAGTGACTTGCTTTGCCAGGATCTGCAAGTGCAATGCACTCAGCATCAGGGGCAGTGGAAACAGTATTTCCATCATATGCTTGCTGAGCAAGCTCTGAAGGTGAGGAGCAGAATTTCCCTAATTCCTTTTTTTTCCTATCACATGCAGGGTAAATGTTACCATTAACCCGAGGGTTAATTAATAGGACAGACTGTAACATATAGACTCTCTCCTATGTCTTTCTCAATAACAAGAATTACCTTGGAACACGGGTGTTTTTGGAACTGTAGCTGTTGGTGGAGGAGCCTCATTTCTGGTGGCAGAAATTAGAGTGATGTGGTAATCCAAAATGTGGGGTGGTAGATTAAAAAATTCCTGTAGGGAAGGTGTAAGTCAGATCCTGCTGTGCAAACATACCAGTTTGTGGAGATTAGCCTTATGAAGACCATGGCTTGTGAGAGATACTCTTCTTCATGTAGGAGGAACACTTGCTGGTAATGGTTTCATAGAAGCATTGTCTTGAAGTTTTTCCATAGCTATTAAAAAAAAAGCGCCCCCCTCCCCCAATTCATACTCCCTCTCATCCCATCCCATTACCTACAACTTTTTTGCAGTAATTTTTAGTAGCTTTCTTCTAGATCTAAACATACTGGACTGGAGCCTTGAAAATCTCATTGCTATTGCTGTAGGACCTGCTGCACACATCTGGAATGGAGGAACTCTTCAAGCCATTGAACGCATTGATTTGAATTCCAGTTCCAAATACATTTCATCTCTGGCTTGGATAAAAGAAGGAACTTGCCTTGCAATTGGCACCAGTGATGGAGAAGTGCAAGTACTAGATAATTTACCTTTTTTGTCTTTCTCCATTTTTAGCTAAAGTGGCCACAAGACAATTGGATACTGATTTTTTTTTAAGAAAACAAATGAAAAAGATTGGCTAAACTACAGAAGAACTCTGCTGGAGACAATATGTAGCACTTCCCTGTATCATGCTGCACCTTACTGAACGGCTTAGTGACATCCAGTGTTATCTATATGTAATGGAGCTTCTGAAACCACTAAAAAGCTGATGACTGAATTAATGATGCAGTTGTCTAGAGACAATCAGATTTTTTTTCCACCAGTAACAGGAACTCTTTCATTAAATTATTTTACTCAGCACAGGCTATTTTTTCTTGTATCTCCCTTGCTAAGATCACTGTAGTGATCAGTGCCTTGAGAACTCAAGCCAAAACTCTCCTTATGGATTCACACATGAGAATTTGATCTCAGTTTGATTATACACATACCTCTCAGCCTGCTGTTGTAGGACAGTCCTATTATCAAAAGATGTTTTTGGGACTTTGAATAATATGGGGATAATATGGGGATAATATGGGATAGACAATATGGGGATAGATAATATGGGGACCTACTTGCTGCAGTCCTGAGTCAGCAATCTGAAGGTACTGAAGGCCAGTGCTTTGAAGTATGGACTTCCAAATACTGAGATGTAAATAAACAGCTTTATACTCAGAGATGTGCACTCCTTTCAATCCTGTCTGACTTCAGCATCACTGATATAGGGGCCAAAATTTGGAAATACTCCTTCTTGTCTTACTTGTGAAATAAATAAGCCTGAGGTTGCCCATACGTCAAATCAGAACCGGGCAGTGGCTTACCTGCAAACAAATGAAGAGAAAAAAATCTTTTTTCTTTTTGTTGTTAAATTTGTATTTATTGTTTGTTTTGGATTGGCAGCTGTGGGACATTGAAACCAAAAAGAGGTTGAGAAATATGTTTGGTCACCTGTCTGTAGTTGGAGCTCTGAGCTGGAATCATTATATTCTGAGCAGGTGAGTGGTATAGTATATTCCCAGAAAGAGTCCTGCTACTTTTACTTAGACAAATGTCCCATTCGTTTTAGCTGTTTTCACTGGCTTTGCTCAAAGGTGATTTATCCTGTCTCTCTACTTATCGGCCATCTCACAAATCACGTTTTACTGTATGGCAGGAAAGCAGCCAAAGGGGATTTAGCCTGCCTCTTTAGTCTCTGTTTCTTACTCTCGTTCCAGAAAGCTGTCACCACTTGCAGAATTTCACTAGGATGTGGAGGCTGTGGCTCTGGTTTTGTGCAAAGCCTGAGCTTGAAATGGTGTTGTCTCCCGTGGGTCTGGACTCCAAAAATCATAGCCTGCCTGATGTCAGGGAGAGGGCATGTAGTTTAGGCTGCCCCTCCACTGACATCAAGACTGTATCTGTCTTTTCAGATGCACAGTGAAACACAGCTGTTAGAGTTGCACACATCTCTAGCTGTGTATCTACAAGGGAAGGCCAGCTGATTGTTATCCACAACCCAAGGAGAATTGAAGTGGTTGACCTTTGCTTTGCCAAGGGTGAATTTTACACTAGCTAGTGAATATTTTATATTTAGGAATCATTTCAATATGGGGACTCAGATGAGAAAGATCAAGTGTACTCTTTTGTGGTTTTTTCCCTCCCACTTTCTATTTCCGATCTTTGACTCAGACTTGAAGGAGCTGAAGGGAGGCTTGTTTATGATGGATGCTTCTACGATTTTAAAACCATGTGATAGTCTTCCGTTTTATATAAACATAGAAATAATAGCAAGGGCGAACCAACTTTATTGTTCAAATGAAACTAGTATCTCCGGATAAGAACACTAGAGGTAGTTTTATTTTGATTTCACAAGGTGCTCTGGCTTTTGATTATATTAGCTCTGCTGGGTGGATACCAGCTGAACAACCAGTTAATAAAATGCTGTTGCTGGAGTAGGTACTCTGGGTGGGTTAAGTTACAAGGATGCAGCTAGAACATCCTGCCAATGCCAAGTGGCATAACCTTATTACAGTCAGCATTAGTTTCAGTTTGCATTTCAGCTTGGCCAAGGGAGTGAAAACAACAGAAACTTAAATTACAGATCTCTCTGAGTAGAAATTGATGATAAAATTCAGCATGAACCTGTGAACTGCAGTTATGGTTGACAGATTAGGTTGAGATAACATTTATTTTTCTTGCTAGGTTTGAAACTAACTAGTTCATTCTAATATTAGGGCAGAGTTAAAATATCTGTATAAGTAGAAAAAAAGAGGTGGAGTTAATACTCATTGTTACTAAAATAAGAGCAGCATTCTTACACTAACCTTCACTGTGGACAATTGATACTTTGAGATTACATACTAATTTCAGCAGTTAAAAATAGTCCAACAACACATCATCATGAACCTGTAAATAAATTTCAGTACCATAAATTAACCCATCACAAAAATTTTTTTGGCTTCTCTTTGTCTTTAGCAAAACGGATGCCATCTTCTGTGTCAAAAGCAAATAATTCTGATTTCTTTTTATGCTGAGTGGAAAAATGTCCTTTCAGCCAGGATTCTCAGGAGCCCAGTTCCTTCCCACTCATACCACTAGAATTACTGAAAACCTTAATATGGCCAACACTGGTATTCAATTCTGTTTCTTTTGGGTAGATTTTCTGCTTATTATTTAGTAGGAAAAATCTATATAAATCTTCAGGAGGCAAATGATGATGCCTTTGCGTATAATGCACATATTCCCATGTATCTTCATAGGTATTTTCCGTAAAGATGTGCTTAATATTCACTGGAGCACTGCTTGGTTGGAATCTTTCATGCTTTTGTGAACTTCAAGAGCTTGGCAAGTCCATAATACAAGCACAATAGAATGACGTTTCTTGCAATCAGTCAGTTTTGTGTGTGCATTTTTAGAGCTTCCGAATCACTCAACTTGCATCTGAAAAATCTTTAAGAGCCAGTAGGGAAATATTGCCTTAAATTAGTCCATTGCAGTAATGCCAGATACCTGTTTCTCAGATACTCAGAAAGATGGTATTGCACTTGCTGATTTTTTCAGTGTCATCAGAATAGTTGAAAGTGTGAATTTCCAGCAAGAAGCTCTTCTGTTTTGTCATAGGTTTAATGTAGGTAATATCCTTAGAAAGGCAGGAAAAGAAAATGCGCTGCAAAGTATTTTCAATATTTTCAGTTCAACTCTACTATTGATGTGTAAAACCCATATTAAAGAGCTCAGCTGTAACAGTAGCTGTGTTTCCAGGCAGAGTGTTTCTTCCTTCCTTTGGTAGACTGATGATGCTGGCTGTAGAACCATGCATCCATTTCCTAACAGGCAATTAGTGAACAGTGTCAAGCTGTGCAGATTTTCTTTAAGCCTGGAAGTGGGAGGGAGAAAGGGGACAAGGGAAGAGAGAGAACCAAAGAACACACTGTTACTCGCTACTAAGCCCTTTCCCAGAGCAATTCAGTTTTACACTGCCTCTTTTTTGGGCATGGAGTCATATCTGGCCTTGGCAAAAATCATCTTGCAAAACTATCTTTCATGAAGAACAGGAAAGAGTTTACATTAAATGGCTTCACAGTTGAACAAGGTGCAGATTAGTGGCATACAATGCAATATATCTTAAGGGAAATGAAAACCAAGAGAGACAACAGGTATTCTGCCTGGCTTGAACTGAGCAGCTGCTTGGCTCCTTTCTGTTGTCAGCCACGTCTACAGTTAGGATGTGCGTTTGATAGTTGGTTTGTGTTTCCTTTTACTGAAATACTGTTGTGCTGCAGACACATTTCACTCTGATGTGGTTTGCTTCTGAAACCACTGAAGAAACATCAGTGTGGTGATGTAGCTTGTCTTCTTTAATATTAAATCCATGCTGTCTTTTTTCATCTACAGTGGTTCACGACTAGGATCTATTCATCACCATGATGTTCGGGTTGCTCAGCACCATGTTGGGACTCTCTGCCAAAACAAACAGAGCATTTGCAGCCTGAAATGGTCACTAACCAACCAGCTGCTGGCAAGTGGGTCTAGTGATGGTATATTGAATATCTGGCCTAGTGACCCTGGTGTGAAACTGCAGTCACAGCCACTGAAAACCATACCTCATTCCTCAGCAGTTAAGGTATATGGAGAAGGAATGTCTACTTTTCTGTATTTGCTCTCATGAAATCACATTATTGATGTGGACAGTTAGGGAATTTTTCAAATTATCTCACTGATTTCTATTAGCTTATTCTCCCCTGATTGTGATGCAGTTAATTTTAAGACCAGTTCTCCTCATTCCAAGTCATAGATAAGTTTGTGAGGGTTTTGATCAGGAAATTTTACTGGATTGGTAGGCCTTTGTAAATATAATGCCAAACAGAAATAAAATTTGCAGGCTTCTCCTCTGTTTTGCACAGAAAACTTTGGTGGCATAATACTTACAAGTTAACAAACAAGATCTTTCAATTTTTGGAGTTTTGGAAAATTCTCTCTGCTGAAATTATTTTAAATATGAGGTTTCTTTTGTCTTCCTGACCATATTTTCATGTCATTGCTCGTAGCAAAGAATCCAAAGTAAGAAATTGGAAATGAGACAACTTAGATTCTTCATCTTTATAAAGTCCCAGTCTGTGTAGGAGAGAGAACGGGTATCAGCAATAAGAGGCAGGGGAGTCCAGCATTTATAAGCTGTTTATCCTCCCAGAAAAATCTGAGGCTGGCCTGAAGTGCTGGTGTTAAAGGGTCAGAGGATGTTATTGAAATAGGTGGAATTCAGTTCTTAGTAGCTTTTCTTCATGCAGAGTCTAGGTCTTAGGCATGTTCTGGAAATATCTCAGAAGAAACCAGGTCTCTTGTAAGACCTGTAAGTCACGTTGCTTAGGCCTCTGTGATGGCTTGGCTTAGGCAGTAAGACTATCCTGCTGCGTTCTTCTGGTACTGAGGTGGGAATCTGTGGCCTGTGAAGGGTAAGCAGAGAATCTGGAGTTTTATGAGCATATGTGGGACAGTCTACTGCTACTGTGAAGCAATGGCAAAGGAAGCAGCGTTTGGAGTTTTGGGATTCTGCATTGCTGTGTGTGCATGGAGGAAGAGCATGGTGTAGGGTGAAAAAAGCCAAAGATATATTCTGGGTGCTTGTTGCAGTTCATTTTTCCAACTAAGCTTTTAAGCAAAATCTACTCTGTTTTTTCAGTTAACCTCCTAGTCTGTTCTGGCATCTGTTTTCTTTTTTTTTTAGGCTGTGAACTGGTGTCCTTGGCAGTCCAAAGTTCTTGCTACAGGGGGTGGAATGAAAGATGGGATTTTGCGTGTCTGGGACATAAACCGTGAGAAAGTAATCCGAAGTGCGGCTACAGATTCTCAGGTGAAATGATGAAATGTCTGCATACTTAGGCTATGCTCTTGTATAGCTGTGCTCATTTGGCAAACTCCCACTGACTTTGAGGGTGGTTCTGCAGTCAGAGGAACAGCAGGATTTTCTCTGGATGTGCAATTGTGCTACATTCGGCACTGCAGTGTGTGATTGGACTCAGAAGCAGTTTCTTGTTTCTCATTCACCACTTCTGTCTCCACACAGAAGTGATTGAAGAGGAGGTGGTCTCGCAGCCAGACACTTCTCATCATCTTTTCCTTATTGGCAATAATAATTTTGGCCAAAACTCTTAATGTGGAGAGAATGTTGAGGGAGAGGGAAAATTCCCAGAGTGCTGGGGTGAGAAGAGGTGTAAGAGTCAAGAGGGCAAACATCCGTCTCTGGACTTTGAATATTAGGAGGCAGAGGAACAGATTCTCAGCTGGAGTAAAGCAGCATAGCTGTTGATTCTCCTGGAGCTATTACAGCTTAGCTGAGGATGTATTTGAAGGGCTTTGGTTTTATACTGGTAGGCTATTATCACGTTTAGATAGGACAATAAGGCAACTATACATCAAAGCGTGGTAAGGAGTGAAATGATTCTTCTAAATAAGTAAATATTCTGCTGGGACTATTTTTCAGTAGCTTGTTCAAACATCGTAGATAGCATTTCAAATCTACTGAACAGTGCATGTTGACCCTTTCTGAAAACTTAAGCAGAATTTTAAATTGCAATAGATTTGTTCCTTGCTCTGGTTACCCCAAACCAGCGAACTGATAACTGGACAAGGCCTTCCTGGAAATCAGATGAAAATATGGAAGTATCCCATGCTTATCAATTCATCAGAACTCCATGGCAAGTATTTCAGTTAATAGTTTGAACTATCTCAGTTGACTATCTGTCTAATCAGTGTGTTTTTGCAAGTGCATACGTTATGCATTTATGTAAAATAGAGTTAAAAGAGCAGTCACGTACACATCCTCCCTCTGCCTATACACATGCATTCATGCGCACAATCCTGAAGTATGGGATTGTAAAGGTTGACTTATTAAGATAATAGTATTAGATGCTTCTGTAAAATTCCTTGGTTTTAACGATGGGATTCTCTCCTATAATTTCTAAGGCCATTGGAGGTGCAGGACGTGGATTTCCACCTCTCCCTAAGGCTTACTAGGCGTGGACTAAGTGTGCTGATGTCAGGTTGCTTCCAATATATTCTGGGCTGATGGCCTTCTAGATAACTCAAACTAAATGTGGCTCTTCAGTTTTGCAGCTCGTCATGGAAGGGTACTGAACCAGCTTCCTAATCACGTTTGAAATAAATCTCCATGTGTTATTTAGAGCTGTCTGGGTTTTAATCAATGATTTTGGCTGTGAAGCAATGCAGTGCAGCATGTTTCCCTTGTACTGTGCTGACAGCTAGAGGAAAGTGCAGTTTCCTTGCAGCTCTGTATTGGTCCATGGAGCTGTAGGGCTACGCTACAGATAAAAGTTTTTTCTTGCTATTAAGCCTTCTTGTTTCTGATGTTTGCTGTCACTCCTGTCGATTAAGTTTTACTTGTTTCAGTGTTAACTGAAGTGATCCAATAGAACATCTGAAGTTAAAAACCAAATCATTTGCACACTGGCTGCATTTTCACAAGTATGGTAGTTTTTTCACACTCGCTGACAAGATATGGCTAGAGAAACTTTGGATTTTTAACCTAACAGCTGATATTTACAAATACTTTTTGTACCCTATTGCTACATTTGAAGGCATTTATTAAATTCCTGATTTATTAAATCCCAGCTATACTGAGATGCTGTCCTTGGAACCAGCGACTTGGGTGGAATCAGGGACTTGGCTTCAACACTAGCCTATAAGAGGAATGCAGAGGAGAGTCAAAACAAAGATGGACGGAAGAGAGAGGGCAGCAGAGACATACGTGGATCTGATTACACATTATCCTTGTGTAATGCTGCTTGTCTGTGCTGCTTTTCCTTCCTTATCCCTGCTCATTTATGTATAGCTCTTAATGTCCTGTGATGTTCTGAGAACTGACTTGGAAAGTGGCATGATCGTTAGTCTTAACTACTGTAGCTTGAGGTTTCTCAAATCCTTGTAAGTCTTGAAAATACTATTTGAAATGAAACCTAGATTTATTCTTACATTTGAGAATAGCGTATGATGCAAAACATTTACCATATAAGTCAAATGCATTGGTAATTTGGTGAAGCTAGGGGGTTACTTATCATCCTGTTTCCTCTTCAGTTTACTTGTCTGCAAGAGAAACTAATTTTTGTGAACAAAAAGACCAGGTAATGGTTGCACAGATATATTCCCGCTTATTAAGACTCCTATTACCTTACTACAAGCAATTGAATGTTGGAAGAAATTGTCAATGTATCAAAATATGTTTAGAAAAAATACTGTGATAGATGATTGTGAGATGGTTCTAAATCAGCCTCAGACTCCCTTAACCACATGAGTTTTACACCCAAAGCAATGAACAGATAAATCATAACTGAATCTCATTGTTTAATCCTCCTGCAAAATGCTGAAGAGCTCAGCTAACAATGAAGCACTGTCAGCTTTAGTACTTTAGTAATTGAGGTTGCCTATTACTGGGCATATTCGGAACAGAAAAACAGCTGAAAGATAGTAATCTTTTTAAAACACTGAGTCCATTTTTGAGATTTACTAGAAAAAAAGATTCATTTTGGATGTAAATGCCCTTCCCTTAGAAAAGTTGTTGTAGCTCAAAGAAAACATACAAGCAAACAAAATACGTAGTTGCTTTGAAAAGTATCTGAATGTGATCTTGAAACAATGAAATAAAACCCCAGCCCTCTCCACTCAGAAAACATGGAAATGAATAATTTCAACTTTTCTGATTTCTCCCTGTCCCCCTTCACGTCTTTTTGACTGAAACTATTAATCAGACTTCAGTCAGTGTTGTGGATAGTTTTGGATGCCTCCAAAGACTACATCTCCAGCTCTTCCTTCGAAGTCATTACAGACACTGAATGGAGTCAGTGTAAAGAATTTGCTGAGATGTAAACTCATGGTCTTAAATATTGACAAAGATCACGTACACTTCAATAACTTGAGAAGGAGCAAAGCCTGAAAATTAATCTCTGCTGAAATATTTTAGTGGTCGTGTCAAAATTCTAGTCATCAGGTTTTGGTGGGACACACATTACTCAGCTTCAGGACAGCAGATATTTGCTTTTAGTCACAGCAGCTCCAGAGAGCCATAGTAGTAGCTTTGCAAAGTTAGGGCAGGCTGTCCATCTACAACAGTCCTATTGGTCTTTATCGGGTACCATTGTGATAAGTACCACAGTTTCAAAGGGCTTTACAGTTCCTCACGTGTTTATCCTCATAATACTATTTTGAGCTAGAGAAGTGCTATCCCCATTGTGTTCATGGAGAGCTCAGGTACAGATGATGGGAGGACATGGGTCACCTACATTCATTCAAGTTGGTCACCCAAGACTTCCTTCATACTTTCACACTTCCTTTTAGGATGTGGTTCATCTGGTCTGTTCTAGATGAGATACACTATGTCTCAGAAGTTTTTCTTTTTCCCCTTGGGTGACCAGCTCAGCTATGTGATTGTCAGTAACTCACCCAGCCAGAGAAGCCTTTAGAGTAAAAAGGCTTCTAATTCCTCATGCCCCTGTGTGCCTAAAAACCTCATGGGTTTGCTTAGCATTGATATTGTGCTAGATGATACAGAAGAGCAGAGGTAAATACAGGTCTCAATAGTCTCAGTTTAATACCAGACTCTTTCTGCCTTCAGTTCAAATTCAGTTGCTTCTACTGAGGGAGACACTTGTATAACCAGATTAATGAGTTTTGTACGTTCTTTGTGCTGCTAGACTGGGGCAGCTTCTGGCCTTCAGTGTCTGGCTCCCAAAGTTTACTACAGCTACAGACAAACTCAATATACAATTCCAATAAATTATTTAGTGGGATCACTGTTAAAAGATCTCCTTAATAATAATAACTGAGCAGCTGGATACACTATCTCATGATTGTTGAATCAGCTGCAAACTGTCTGCAAGGCATGTGCAGCCAGATGGGAAAGCTCAGCAGTGAGACACATTACCAAACACAGGTGGGACTGATGTTGTAAATGCAGTGGAGAATCAAGAGTTCAGGTTCAATGTTCTCCTTTGACAGAAATGTCTTCTCAATGTGGTGCAGTCCTGGCAATTAAAGTCTGGTCCCTAATAAGAAAATATTGCCTTCAGCTCTTTCTTAATGTGAAAATACTCTATAGATAGTGCTAGCTCCCCACATCCTACGCAGTATTTTGAGCTGCTACTCTAAAAGTGGAACAAGCCATGCTGTGGGTAAGGGTGGTGAAAGTGACTGGCATAACCGAAGTAGAATTGTGATGTATCTTTGCATTTTTTGTGTGTATTTTATTTTACAGGTCACGAAGGAAGAGTCCTGCATATAGCCCTGAGCCCAGATCAGAGCAGGCTCTTTTCTGTTGCGGCTGATGGGATAGCTTGTTTGTGGAAACGCCACAAGTCTGGGGAGAGCAAGCACAGCAGCAAGGCTTTTTCTAATGATTAGCTGAGCTCATTCTTGTGACTTCTTTTCCTTGAAAGCAAGTGATTAAATGTACTTAGCCCCTTCAATAATTCAAAATATGTGTGTTCCTTCCAATGGAAACATGGCAATTTTTTCAAGAGAAAGCAATTTTCCCCATCAGTCCATCATGTGAAATGTTAGTAGCTTGTCTTACTTACCCTAGAGGAAAAATATTCTGACTCTGAAGAATAACACCATATTTATTTTCACTAAACTAGCAAGCATGGATGGAATCCACCTTGTGTCAAGTGCCAGCGTAAGGTCTTAGGTCTTGCTTTTAGCTATGGTTCTTGTAAGTAATTTTACATCATATTAGCATCCCCATTGGGAACCACATGCCAATTTGTGTAAAATGCCTTGAATCATTCAAAGGCTAGGATCAGCAGAGACGAGTCCAGGGAGCTGTATTGTTCTATGTATCACATAGATCATGGTTCAGAATCTGTCTAAATATTTCTAGAGATCTAGGTTAAATATATAACTGTAACTAAATATAAATGATTTCTTGGGAATTCTTTATTGTTTTTGTAGTGGTAATGATAACTAGCTTAATTAGAAAAGTGTCTTTATTGGGTTTTGAATAATTTCCTTTCCTTAAACCCACCAACTATGTTTAACAATGATGGAAAATGTGAATAGTTATGTAATCAACTGGTTAATAAGCCAGATGGACATAGTCAAAGAAGCATGCTGTTTGGATCAAACACACAGTTAGTTCATTCATACTTTAAGGGTACCAGTTTAATTCTGGGTGTCAGCAAACCTGGCTGTCACCCTCTCATGAATTTTATTTAGTGCTCACAAGGACCAAACCTCTTGGACTTTGTCATGGTTTAACCCCAGCTGGCAACTAAGCACCACACAGCCGCTCGCTCACTCCCCCCGGTGGGATGGGGGAGAGAATCAGAAGGGTAAGAGTGAGAAAACTCGTGGGTTGAGATAAAGACAGTTTAATAGGTAAAGCAAAGCAAAACAAGGAATTAATTCCCTACTTCCCATTGGCAGGCAGGTGTTCAGCCATCTCCAGGAAAGCAGGGCTCCATCACGTGTAACGGTTACTTGGGAGGACAAACGCCATCACTCCAAACATCCCCCCCTGCTGTCTTCTTCCCCCAGCTTTACATGCTGAGCATGACGTCATATAGTATGGAATATCCCTTTGGTCAGTTGGGGTCAGCTGTCCCAGCTGTGCCCCCTCCCAACTTCTTGTGCACTCCCAGCCTACTTGCTGGTGGGGTGGAATGAGGACCAGAAAAGGCCTTGACTCTGTGTAAGCACTGCTCAGCAGTAACTAAAACATCCCTGTGTTATCAACACTGTTTCCAGCACAAATCCGAAACATAGCCCCATACTAGCTACTGTGAAGAAAATTAACTCTACTGTAGCCAAAACCAGCACAGACTTTAACAGAAGTTTGCTTGTGTAAGACTTGTACATTGTCAACAGCTAAGTAAGGTTGTCAGGATTGGTCTTCAGATGCTATTCAGATGCAACTCAAAGCTATTCAAAACGTGTGCTGTCCACAGACGTTTTCAGAGCTTTGCTTTCATTATGAGAAATGAAGAGAGGCAGGGGGTAAGGATTCATTCTTGCGTTTGTATGTTAAAAGCCCTGTGAGCTCAGAAACTCATATTGTTTGGATTTCTTTTTTTTTTTCCTGCTGGAAGTTTATTTAGAGTATTTCCTGTAGCTGGGGAAGAATGGGAAATTAGGGGAGTAGAGCAGTGTCAGCCCATGGAAGATAAAGCTGTGATCAAATGCATGAAAAGAGATAGGCAAAGTTAACAGAGGCACAAGCATGTCTGGAAATGAATGTGAAACTGTCATGTCTTTAGTTCTCATCATTTTTAAAACCTCATCGTCTGCTATTCATAAATCATGTGGTTGCTAACTTTAGGTCTGGAAGGTTAAGACCACTCATCTTTTCTAACTAGTAAGATGTTAATTTACAATAAATCTGCTACTAAACTGCTGGTTTCTGACGTCATCTCGTGTGGTCTTCAAAACAGGTTAGAAAATGGGAACGTTGATTATCGATTGAGAAATGAGTACCAAGAAGCTTATGTCTAAGAACAGGAGATAACTTACACTGTGCCTGTCTTCTCATATGAGCATGTTTGTTGCAACAGATTTTGTCAAAGATTTAGAATCTGATTTAAATATTCAAAATAGTATTTTAAATAGTTTAAAAGTTTTTTAAAATGTTAAAAACATTTTTTCTCTTTTGAATGGGAAAAAAGCAGTGGAATTAGTCTCTTTACTCATATATTTTTTGGATTCTCCCAGAGATTCTCTCTCTTTCCTTTGACGGTACCTAAATGCTATTGGTTTGCCAAATACAGGAAGAGATGTATAACACACAATGGGGGGCTGTGGTGGGAAGGAGCTGGTCAATATTGGAGCTAAGCATATTTTGTTGGATGCTCAACTGTCAAAATAAGAAAATACATTTCTTTCAGACTGAGAAGTGCTCGTTTCTTAGTTAATTATGCTTGTTCATTATTGAGTGGTCAAGCTGTCTTGCCCCAGAATTATTTTAAAATAATATCTAAAAGTGGGAGAAGTCATTGATTTCAGTAGAACTAACCAACAGCCCATAAATATGAGAAAATCTTGTATGTGTGACCTGTAGCTCTGTTCTGTGACCATGTCTGAGAAACCATTTAAGCATGCATTTGAATTCCAGACTGTGACTAATCTGGCATGAAATTAAACATATACTGGAGTGCCTTTTCTGGGTGTGCTTCTTTTCTAGATAGGCTCCTTTACTGTCAGTTTATTTCACGTGGCAAATATCTATCTTTCTGTAATAGGAATTTGAGGACTTGAGTAGGCAGCATGATTCTGCTTCACTAATCTTTTGCAGGTAATGTTGCTGAATATTTGCAGCTATAAAGTGCAGTTACTGAAAGTAGAATATTGTTCTTGCATAGCTGCCTCATTCTGGCAGTGCAGAGGTCTTAACATACAAAGTCTTGGGCAAAATGTGAAATCCTGACTTCCTCCCTGTAAAATATGGCATATTTTTAGCTCATTGCCTGTTAGATGCCTGGTATATCGTTCAGGCCCAGACTGAGATAGAAATCAGAACCCACTTCTAAGACGTCAGTTTGTTCTGCACCTGAGGTCTGTATGCACTAAAGGCTGAGTCTCCAGAGGTGGCACAGAGAATTAGGTAAAATTTAAGTTGCCTAAACTCAGGCTGTCATCCCCACAGTCCTGTCCAAGGTATCCTGTCTACTGTACAACACATGGAATCCAAAACTTCAGGACAAAAATAAATTTTACAAGAGGAAAAACTTCATTGTCCACACAGGGCCTGTGTCTTCCCAGGTATACCAATACGACAAAGTGATTGTAATGCAATGAAATGGACTAAAGAAACTCAGGGTAGGGAATGCTTTTGTTTCCGCACATAAATGCACTGAACAGTCTCTAGCAGACAGTCCCCTGTTCTTCAGGCACTGTATTATCTGACTTGATGCTACCTACATAAATGTTGCATTAGTTTGTGTAATGCAGTTTATACCTGTTCATTTCACTCAGTTATCTCATATACCCACAGTGAGAAGAAATTGTTACGTTCTAGATGTCAAAATTACATTGAATGATCATAACATTTTTCTTAACTAGTACATAAACTTGCATGGGCTCCATCCCATGGAGAGCTGTATAGGGAATGGGTTCATGCCTCTTGATCAGAGAAAGCCCCAGCATAGGTGAAAACTCAGTTCCATCTCCTTGCTTCTGCTTTTTTCCCCAGGTTTCTACTACTGGCTGTGGTGACAGAGGCTTGAATGTTTTGTTTACCATGTAAGTCCGGTTTCACTGGCTCATTTTGCACAATTCACTAAAAAACACTCATGTTAAAAAAATAAGTTTTTAAAGTATTTTGGGGTAGATCCTAAATTTCAAGCTAGAGGGAGAAGGCTGCACATTTTTTCTTGCACATTCCTTCCTGCATTGTAAACTTCTCCTTGGTCAGAACCTCTCCTTCTTTCTGACCCCACTTGGGTCAGAACTACTGTCTTAAAAATGGAGAAATACTGAATGATAGGCTTTCAGTGGGATTTTCCACTGACGAGGATGCTGCTTGTGATTTCCAGGGAAGAGGAGGAAGCAGACCAAAGAAGAAGCAGTTAACATGAAAAAAATACTGCAGCAGGATGAAAGACAAACAGCGAAAAAATGGACAAAGAGGAAAGAAATTAAGTAAGATTAATATATGGGAAGAGTGAAATAGCCCTAGGTGATCAGCTGTCTTGAAGATCAGGTACAGATTTTTCACTAGATTGGTAAGGGTGTTTTTGTTTTCTGGAGGTTTTTAGAATCAGTTCTTTCCTAAGCAAGGGTTTGGTAGTTTGCAACAAGAGAAAAAGTCTGGTCTTGTCTTACTTATTTCCTGTGTGTTTAAAGACAGAATCAAAGTCACCACTTGGGGTGTCAGTACCAGTCAGTGGGCCAAATTCTCCTCTCAGTTTCATTGATCCAATCTTACTTGGCTAGGAATTCTTATCTCTGCTCCTGCTTTGCTTCTGTGTTTGTGTGTTTGTGTGTTCAGCCCAAGAGTCAGGACAAACAGGAATAAGAATAAGGAATAAGGAATGTGAAAAGTTCTGACTGTGTAATGTTTGTAATGGACAGAAAGCATGAAAGATGTTCAGCATCAAAACTTTCAATAAAGATCCCTGTAGTTTAGGCCTTCTCCTTCCTTCACCCTTCATTATTCCTCCATGACAAAACAACTGTTTTTTCCCAAGAAGATCAGATGAAGGCAGTTGTGTGAAAAAGTTTTAGTCTGTATTTTCCCATGTTGTGTTTATAAGTGATGTTTAATTGCTCATGATGAATCAAGCAATCATTTTAAAAATCAATACAAGATTTCTCCACTCTTTTAATGTCCTCTGCTTTCTCTTAGCTAATGCCTGCTTCCAAGTAAAAAACCCCCGAAGCAACACAAAATAAAACCAAGCTCTTTTTGA